AATAATTCAATTAGCATAGAAATATCAAATAGCAATTTAAAAACAGAAAGGTATTATTGTTTGTAAAAGAAAAATCTACTTGATTGTTTGCTTCAGGAATCCATTGTATTTGATTTATACAAGTAGCTAATTATTTGGAGCTCATGCTGACCAGCTGGCAGTATTCTCTACTCATCTAGCACTGGAGTGACCAACCTGTGGTCCACGGCCCACTACCAGGCCGTAGTCTCTTGGCCACTGGGCCGCATGAGTGGCTGACCAATGCACGTGCATGTGTGCGCTTGCACCCCCCACTTGCGCTAGCATTGTGTCGAGCGTATGCTAGCAATGCCGTGAGCATCGGACAGGCACTAGTGTTGCCATGAACACACACCCCACTTGCTCTAGCATCGTGGCGTCGCATGGGGCCTAGCAATGCCATAAGTATTGGGCGGGCGCTAGCGTTGCCACGAGCACATCCCCCATTCGAGGTAGCATCGTGGTGTCATGCCGGCGCTATTGTCTCTGCAAGCGCAACAACCCCACTTGCACTAGCATTGCGGCATTGCATGGGGCTAGCGTTGCCCGAGCATCGCATGGGCGCTTGTGGCCCTGTTTGCGTCACGTGTGCAATCATGGCACTGTTCATGCATGCACGGTCCCATTTGTATGGGTGCGTGCTCACATGCATAAAGGTGCCTCCACCCCCCGCCCCAGGCTGCCAAACCAGAAAGGTTGGGGACCCCTGATCTAGCATATCTAGTTTGCATTTTCCACAATCACTTGTGATAAATTCATGTTCCACTTTTGCTCTGTGTAAACAATTTGAAACAAAAAAGTAGGATTGGGTTTTTAAAGAGCCTATTTGGTTCACTTATCATTGGTTTTTTTTTAAAAAAAGATTATGAGAGTAATAATTGCTATGCATCAGGTTTTGACAGCTTTTTTTAAAAGAAATACAATTTGGAGACTAGCAATAACATAAGAACCTACTGGATTGAAATTTAATCCAGCATTTTGTTTACTATAGTGGCCAATCAGGTTTGTCTGGACTTTGTAAACAGAACATGGAAACACCCACTCTCACCCTGTTATTACTTTGCATTTGAAATACAGAGGCAGGGTTCCTCAAACCCTTCATACACATTGAGTCTTCAAGACTTAAAACAGGGGTCCCCAACCTTTCTGGGTTGGTGGCCTGGGGTGGGGGGAGTGGAGGCACTTTTACATGTGCGAGCATGTGCATGTGGAAACGGAGCCGTGCGTGCCCAAATGGGGCTGTGATTGTGTGCGTGATGCAAATGGGGCCACGAGCACCTGCACGAAGCTCGGGTGACACTAGCACAGTGGTTCTCAACCTTTTTAATGCCGCGACCCCAACCGGTCGTAAGTCGAGGACTAAACCGGTCGTAAGTCGAGGACTAAACCGGTCGCAAGTCGAGGACTAAACCGGTCGTAAGTCGAGGACTACCCAACGGGTCGTAAGTCCAGGACTTTCCCTGCCCGGGAGCGCCGCGCATGCGTGGTTCCGCCCCCTGCGCCGGCCGAGGCGTAGCTGGCAAGCGGCAGAGACGGAGCAGGCCGACTACCAGCTGGCCCAGCCCAAGGGAGGTAAGGCACCCGCCGGAAAAGGGGAAAAAAATGGCGGACAAAAAAAATGGCGGACAGCCTTGCTTGGTGACCCCCATGAAATGGTCGATCGACCCCAAATGGGGTCCCGACCCACAGGTTGAGCACCACTGCACTAGCATCTGCATAATGCCATGATGCTAGCACAAGTGGGAATGTTGCGCTTGCAGCGACGATAACATGACGCCATGACGCTAGCGCAAATTTGGGGTTCACTCATTCTTCAAATTAACCATCCAATAAGTGAACAAATACATTCTACTGTATGTTTTAATTCTCCATCCATTGGATGATTTCTTGTCCTGTTGTCTTGATAGAGGGGGAAAACAGATTAACAAAGTCAATTTTACAAAGAAGAGTTAGCCATTCACATTCACATACTGTAATCAGAACTGATGAAGCTTCTTGGATGAGAAGCGAATTTTTTTCTTCTTCTTCTTCAAGGGAAAAAAACATAGTCCAGTTGCCTTTGGAAAAAATATCTTTGATACAACCATGACCTGGATGACTGAGAATCTCTGTAGACATTCAGCTATTCACATTAGTTCACATTCACATTGGGCTTCATGCTTTTCTTTATTGAATACTTACAATCTGCTGTTTTTACTGCTCATATACTGAAATCCTAACATTGCAAATTTTGGATAAAAGGTGGAAGTTGGGTTCTGAATAGGCAGCATCAGCTTGGCAATAATTGTTTGTGCTTTCCGAAATACCTTCCAGTATTTTCTGTACTATGCAGAGACTGAGGCACAAACCAGCAGTTAGGCAGATGTGCTTGTGGAAGCTTCATCTCCATTACCATTTCTCTTCATTTCTGTAGAATAGGGGTCCTCAAACTATGGCCCGCCTTGTCTTTTTATCCGGCCTGCCTCAACCTCCCGGGCAAGCTGTCCAATTGCAAGGTGAGGGTGGGTGGATGGTGGCGAGAGCCCCAGCCAATGGTGGGACGGCGAGTTGGTGGGAGATATTTTTTTCCCAGTTTCTCCCTCGTACACCCAAGCGTGCGCTCATGCTTCAGCCATGCCCCCTTCCTCTCCTCTCGTTTCTTTGCGTTTTTACCTCAGGGCCAGGCTGAGAGGTTTAGGCCTCACTTGCAGCCTCGGCCTCGTTTAGGGCAGTCAAACCGGGCAATGACGATGCCATTGCTTCTGCTTCTTCTGAGGCGGGTCCCTTGCTAGGTGCTACGGAACACAAGCCCCAGCCTCCACTGCCAGGCAGTTCTTCTGCCCTGAGACGGTCCAGAATGCCAATCAAGGAGAATATTTCTGGCTCAGGGTTAAAATGAAGGGTCCTTGGGGGGGTCTCTGAGGATGGTGGTTTTCTTTCAGACATTTCAGAATCCAAAGTGGGTTAATAAATGAACTGATGATGTTACCTAGTTTGGGTCATGGGACATCTACAAGAAAGCCATGAAGCTCAGAGAGGACCAAGGAACCCACAACTGCCCTCCTCCTCTTCTCCTCCACTCCACAAACCCCGCTCTCTTCTGGCACTGTTGATGTTACCCTAGTTTGGGTCATGAGATGTCTGCAAGAAAGTCACCAAGGACTCCACAGCCGCCCTCCTTCTCCTCTTCGCAGTGTTCCAATATCTCAGGGGCTGCCACAAAGAAGAGGGTGTCAAGGTATTTTCCAAGGTGCCTGAAGGCAGGACAAGAAGCAACGGGTGGAAACTAAGCAAGGAGAGAAGCAACCTAGAACTAAGGAGAAACTTCCTGACAGAACAATTAACCAGTGGAACAACCTGCCTCCAGAAGCGGTGAATGCTCCAACACTGGAGGTTTTTAAGGAGACTGGACAGCCATTTGTCCGAAATGGTATAGGGTTTCCTGCCTGAGCAGGGGATTGGACTAGATGACCTCCAAGGTCCCTTCCAACTTTACTACTACTACTACTACTACTACTACTACTACTACTACTACTACTACTACTACTATTATTATCCTCCATTCCACAAATCCCGCTCTCTTCTGGTATTGCTGATGTTACCTAGTTTGGGTCATGAGACATCTGCAAGAAATGCTGAATGGAAATGGCACCTTGTCTTTCTGACAGATGTAACAGAGCTACTAATAGTTTCAATGTGCAACTTCAAGGAAAGGGGAAGCTCATCTGTGATATGAAAGCATTTGAAGTAAAATTGGACATATTCATTAAACAAATGAGGGAGGAACTCTTCCCACAACTCAAAAACTATTTGTGGAAAAACTAGCAGTTACATTCCCAAACAAAACGTGTGGATTCACTGGAAATATTGTATATTTTCTTCATTTAAAAATTCATTCAAATAATTAACCAATCATTTTTCTTGTTTCATTTTTTCATTTTATACTTGATTTTACATTGTTCTATAACCGTGGTGGCGAACCTATGGCATGCTTGCCACAGGTGGCACGCAGAGCCCTCTCTGTGGGCACACGCACCGTTGCCCCAGTTCTGGGCCTTCAGCTCAGTTTTATAAAACCTTTTCGCTTTAGGCCTCCACTGCCGTGTGCAAAAAAAAAAGGTTCAATCAATCAATTTCAACTTCTCGCGGGGAAAAAAAGATCTCACAAAGTTGGAATTGATTGAACTTTTTAGTCCCACCCAGTCTGCCGTTACCACCACAGCCACGCCAACCCAATGGGCCATGCCCATCCGGCACCCAATGATATATAAGTGGGTTTTGGGTTACAGTTTGGGCACTCGGTCTCTAAAAGGTTCGCCATCACTGTTCTATAATCATTAATTTTTTTAAAATTATAGTCTGCCCCCCCACCAGTCTGAGGGACAATGAACTGGCCCCCTGTTTAAAAAGTTTGAGGACCCCTGCTGTAGAAGATGAGAACAGATTATCTATTGAAAAGACCTACTAAGATTACAAAAAATATTTCAAATTTTAGAAACAGGTGTAAAGATTATATTACATTCTATAAGAAACAAAATATCTATGCATTTTTAAACAGTTCAAATTCAGCTTTTGCATAAATATTGAAGGCATAGGTAAATATATGTTTATATCCATGTCTCATTTAATGAGCCTCAATAGTGATCCTTAAGAACAATTTCAAAAATTATTTTGTGGTTTTGAAAATACTTTAATCCCAGTCATGTGATTTAGGGCAAGGGTAAACTAAGTTCATATCTATTTTCTTAAGAGTTGGATTACTAATAACCATACCAGGGACATGACTGATTATCTTCACTAGAAGCAAACAATAAAAAGTAATACTAATTATGGTTATACTCATGGTTATACAACAAATATTTGCACTGGTTCATGCACTTCAGTTAAATAACTGTAAGGCGGGGTAGTGGTAAAGTTAACATATTGTTGAAGCTATAGAAAATTGTACCTACAAAATATAACTTAAACTGATGATCCATTTTTTTGATTTTTCACCTATCCAGGGACTTCATATTTAACTGATATAGTGTGGTGGTCAGGTACTATTGCTAGTAAGTATATCTTCTATATTTGAACAATTTTACATCTTAAAACCATATTGAAGGACTATAGTTTTCTACCCAGATGTGTTAGACAACAATTCTTATGCATATGATCAGCAGTGATGATCGTAACTCTGGTCCAATATATCTATTTAAAGAAAAGCTGCTGACATGTTCAGTCTAGGATACTGTTTCATTGGTATTTTTCATGATACTTTTCTTGCTGGCAGCATTCATTTCACACCACAGGCTATGGTGGCTTTGGCTAAACTGTATACAGTATTCCTCTCAGGCAATATAATTTAAATATAAAATTGTTTTTATCCAGGAACATCTATGGGGAGAGTAAAAATCTGTAGGATTTGCCATCCAGCCATATTGCCATCCATTCCATAATTGCTGGAAGTAATTCATATCAAAAATACATCTGGAGGAACCAGACTGGAGAAGGTTGAATCAGAATGTACCTGAAATCACATTGTTAGATACAAAAATGTATGGGCAATGCATAGATATTTTTTTAACAGTTACAGTTTTGCAATCACATTTTCTGAATTAAAAAAGTTGTTTCTCTGAATTTGTCATAGTTTATTAAGCAGCAATACCAGAATGATTTTCCAATGCTTTTTTTCTCAAATACCATTTTGACTTCTGGTATAATTAACAGCCTTTGGATTTTGTGGTTTCTCCCATGCAAGTACTAATCAAGATTATTTCTGCTATCTTTTTCAAAATTAGCCAAATTTATCTAAATGGTGTCATCTGGAAATGAACTTGTGAAAAGAACAACAACAGCAACAAAAAACCTAAACATGATGGGTGTAACAATTTAGATTGCTTGTAATTCTTTTTGGTTGGCTGATAATATTATAATCCTATGTAAACATACAGTAGATCAATGTGTTGATCTACAGATATATTTGCAATTCCAAATTTTCTAATCAGGATTGCCTTGTAGGCTAGGAATGCCCCAAAAGTGTAATTCAGACACTCCTGGAAAGCACCAGATTGGAACAGGCTAAATTAGGTGCTAGGAAATAAAACCTTCAGCTAGCATAAAACGTATTAAGAATATACCAAAATACTTTACACCAATGCAGAATAGGAGTCATTTTAGTTCAATATCCTCTACACTGCCAGTATTCAGGATTATTTACCAGGAGAAGGCATCACATTTGCATCCATAACTATAAAATATAAAATGGAAATATATATCCAAAATAAATAATTTATTGAGATCTAAGACTAGTCAATGCAATTTTGTGGAAAGATGAAAATAATACCCCTTGGCATCTGTGAAATGGCACATGATATCAATACATTATTGTATAATTGCACAAGTGGCAGGAATTAAATACTGTATGTCATTTGCATCATGATAAGACTGGTGCAAAATACCTAAATCCATGCTATTTGCATACTTGAACTCATAGCCCTGAAAGTGTTCCATCTTGTTCTAGTGATGTCAATCTTAATGTTGCTTGCATGTAAAGCATCGAGAATCATTGCAGCTTCCTAACATTTTCATTTCCCTTTTGTCCCTCTGGTTTGTCAGGGTTTCAAAACAAGGGGCCAGAAGCAAAATCAGCAACTCTGTTGCTTCTGAGTTCCAGAGCTATAGATGCTCAACTTTTCCCTTCTCAACACCCAAACTTAAGAGATCATTAGCTAGCTACAGTATATTCAGCAATTGTCGAGATTTTTTTTGGGGTAGTAGTGGTAATATAGTGTGATTTAGATATGGAAATACAGTGGTTATGGCTTTAATGACAATGCCATCATTCTTTATACTTCTTAAGGCTAAAAGAAAAAATACCTTCTTCTCACTATTTACTAGTTTTCCTACCCATGAATATAAAGGACAATCATACTATTTAATTAAAATGCAGCTAGAGAATCACACAACAGGTTAGGAAGGAAATCATACAACATAAAACTGCCAAGCGTGAGGTAATAAAGCAATAAAACGCCAAAACCCTGCAGTCTAAATCAGTTGTTCCAAAAATAATGAAATGTTTAGTTTTGTTTTCTGTTCACATATTTGTGTTTTTTTCCCACAGTGGCACTTGGCCAGATTGGGAATTTCTTAGCTTATACTGCAGTTCCTACTGTTCTGGTGACTCCGCTTGGAGCACTTGGAGTCCCATTCGGGTAAGGATTTTTTCTGTTTTGCCTTGTTTTCCCTTTCTTCAAATCAAACTATCCATCCGAGTACCTATATTCTATGCAACTTATGTTCAATTTTCTTGCAATTATTACTTTTACTAGTAGTGCCAATAAGTGTTTAATTTTTTTTTCTGTTCTACTGATTTGCATTAAAAATGACCTAGTTTTTTTTCCTTATCTTCCCTTTTGTTCCTTATTTTAAGGAAAAGACAGTTGTTTTTTAGATTTCTTTCTATCCTCTGAAATGTGCAGATGAAGCATTTATTTATTTATTTATTTATTTATTTATTTATTTATTTATTTATTTATTTATTTATTTATTTATTTATTTATTTAGCAAAGAAAGCCAGTATCAAAGATTTACTGTGAACATGGACAGATGTTTATATCCCTAAATACTGAAATGTAAAATGTGCACAAACCACTCAACTACTCAACTAAAATGTCCTTGGATTCTCAGAGATCCTGGTTAAATGAGGTGCATCCTTTGAATTTTTCATTTAATTAAGTGGCTCTCTTGGTGTTACTTCATGTTGTGGAATTGTATCCAGAGCTAAAAACTGATTCAATCCCCAGAAAGTTACATAAAGAAGACAGAGTGATACTTCTAGGACTTTGCCTCAGATAACTAGCTATCCTTTCTCAAATAAATATTTAAGTTAATGTCCAGATATTATATTCCTTTGGGGCATTTTTGTAACAAATGATACTGTCCTTTCTCTATCCAAAGAACCATGAAGTGACCCTCAAGGGCAGGTGGGATTTTTAAAAAAGGTTTTACATCTCTGGTGCTGCACAATCATGTTGAATCTGTTAAGAAAACATATCCTGTATAAGCAGCTGCAAGAAATGTTCTGTTACTTAAAAAAAAATCCCACATGTAATTTGCAGGAGAGATCAAGTCAGAATATTTTTCATTGATACAAAATGCATCAGGGAAGCACTCCTTTCCTATCTTGCATTCCCACTTGCCAGGCCAAACTCAAGTATCGAAATATATCCCACGTTGCTAGCTGGGGAATTCTGGGAATTGAAGTCCACACATCTTAAAATTACTAAAGTTGAGAATGGTTTAAACCAATGGTTTAAACCAATGAAGAAAACTACCTTCTGAAACAAACACTGTTGAATAATTTCTTAACCTGCAGCAAGGACTTCCAAAAGAGTGATCAAACTGTGAAGAAAATGGCCACAACTAAATAATCTATCTTTATGTGTATCATGTAAAAAAATGGTTAGGATTTCCATCACATAGTTGCTACTTTGATTTTTTGGAACTCTCCTTTGTGGATAGTCTGCCTTACAGCAGAGGTCCCCAACCTTTTGGGCACCAGGGACCGGTTCCATGGAGACAGATTTTTCCACGGACCAGAGGGGGCGTGGTTTTGTGTGCTGCCTGCATCTCGTGGATGGGGCTTTGCTTGTTTGTGCGGACCAGTTGTTGGCATGCCGCAGCCTGGTACTGGTCCTTGGACCGGGGGTTGGGGACCTCTGCCTTACAGCACAGAACACCTGATTGAAATTTTCTCTTTGATCCTCTCTTTCTAAGGTCCATTTTAGCTTCCTATCTACTGAAAGAAAAACTGAACATTTTGGGCAAATTGGGCTGCCTCCTGAGTTGCGCAGGTTCTGTGGTTCTCATCATTCATTCTCCAAAGTCTGAAAGTGTCACCACTCAGGCTGAGCTTGAAGAAAAGCTTATAAATCCAGGTATTTAATTCTTTGGGTTAACCATGTTGACAAGTAAATCTGAGTGACAAGACAAAAATGAAAAGAAGCTTAAGTTGCTCCAATGTATAATGTTGGCTTACTTTGTATTTCCTGTTGAACAACTTTTTGTTGCCAAAGGAATGCATCATTTTTTTCCTCCTCTTTCATCTTTAATTATGGAAACTCATTTGTTCCACGGTCCTAAGCATAACTACCTTTTTTAAAATTACCATTGGGAAATAAGTTAGACTTACAAGTTTTCCAATAGCTACTGTATAAGACAAGAATAACATAAAAATAAGAAATAAAATTTAAAGAAAAAATTACTTAAGCTTAAAATAAGCTTGCTTTCCTACTGTGTAGTTTTTTTATATAATTCATTAAATAATAAAGAATGAATTAATTGTACTTCTGTATAATTTCAGTCAGTGGGATTTAAGCAGTTTTATTACTTGGGGTTATAAATAAGTACTATAAATGTATACATTCAACCAAGGAAGGTTGGAAATTAAAATGATAAATAATGGCTTTGGGTGTAAAATTATTGTTAGAACTCATAGAATAAAGGAGAATGTATTTTCTCATATTTATTTCAATGTACTTTAAACACAAAAGAAAGCAATCCACTGATCTATTCCAATTGTGCTTGGGATTACTGCTCCCAGATTATTAGCCAAAGACCATGATAGCTGGAAATTCTGGAAATTGTACCTCCAAAAGGACTAGATTGGAGAAGATCTAAATTCAACACAGTTGATTCAGTAGTGAGCAAATCACTGACTGCTTCCAAGAGTAGGCATAATTAATAAGCTGTTTGTGATTATCATAGAATGATAATGCAAACTTTGGACTGTAGTTTTATCTCTCTGAAGAAATTAAAAAATAAAGTGATGGTCTATGTTTAATTACTTTTGGTTTCAGACAATTTCCAGATAAAGGCTGAGTTAAAGATCACAAAATTACATTGCTTAAATATGCCTGATGACTGACTTGCCCATGATAAATAACATGGAAGATAATTTAAATGTTCTCTGCAGTATTCAGTTTACATATAAACAAAAATATGCATTTTGAAAGAACATTTTTCTGAATCAAAAGCATAATTTGCCATGATAAATTAAATAACAGACTGTCAAAACCAGGACCACAATTTAGGATTACATACCATCGTTTGATTCAGATGGAAAACAATAACTTAAGAGAAGGAATGAGCATCTGCAGAAAACCTCACAGTACTTCCAGATATAGTCTTTCCAAAATTAATCCTTTTCAAATATGTTTGTGTATAGTTCCCATTACATTGACATGTCAGCTGAGAGATAAAGGACATTGCAGTCTAAATACCATTAAGATAGATAGAATTCTTTATTGGAGAAGTGTGATTGGACACACAAGGAATTTCTCTCCGGTGCATAATCTCTCAGTGAGCATACAAGCAACAAGTGATAAATCATGATCATAATCATAAAACACTATTATCATAAAATATATTCAGTGTTAGTCATAGGATATTAAATAATCAACATAAATCAAAGCAATCAGCACACAAATCATGAGATGCAAACAACAAAGTTATAGCCATAAAAAGCTAAGGAAATAGGTAATAGGGAAGATGAGAAATATAATAGTAATAGTAATAATAATATAGCCCAGCTAGGTGATTGATGATGACGTTTATTGCAAAATACAATTTGGAAAGTTATCAAGATAAAGCCAGTGTGAGTTAATGTCATATAAACAATGTGCAGTATGGATCATTGTGATTTCTAGCATTGGGGTATATATCATATAATATAGAATTGTTTTCAAGAAATATTATTTGGTTGAGCGTAATTATGCTATTCTTTGTTTTTCAGTATTCGTGGGTTACCTCTGTATTGTGCTTCTCATGCTGCTTCTACTTATCTTTTGGATTGCACCAGCTCATGGACCCACTAACATTATGGTTTACATCAGTATTTGCTCATTGTTAGGAAGTTTCACTGTGCCTAGTACAAAAGGAATTGGACTGGCTGCTCAAGATATCTTTCACAATAATCCATCAAGTCAAAGAGCATTATATCTCTGTTTGGTTCTGTTAGCAGTATTGGGATGTAGTATAATAATTCAGTTTAGGTACATCAATAAGGCACTAGAATGTTTTGACTCCTCAGTGTTTGGTGCCATCTACTATGTAGTATTCACCACTCTTGTCTTGCTGGCCTCAGCCATTTTGTTCAGAGAATGGAGTAATGTTGGTGTTGTTGACTTCTTGGGGATGGCTTGTGGGTTCACCACTGTATCTATTGGAATTGTTCTTATACAAGTCTTCAAAGAATTCAATTTCAATATTGGTGATTTGAATAAGCCTAATATGAAGACTGATTAAATTCTTAATGTTCAAGGGAATTGGATAATCCAGAGAATGATAGTGTCTTCAATTTTTAGGCCATAGAAATGATAGCCTTTAATTTTTAAACTTTGAGAATAATATCACCTTTCATTCCTTGCTAGAATGTGTGAAATGAATTAGTGTTCTTAATTCAATTTCTCTTAAGACTTGTGATTTATAAACCTCATAGCAAGTAGGATAAGAATTGCATCATCACAGAAGCTGATGTATTTCTTTATCCTTAAACATCATATATGTAGTGTAGGACTGAATTATTTTGGTCTATGAAGAACCAGGAATCTTTTCAAATGATTATTCAGAATCTTCTGGTTGTGTGAATCAACTGTCAACATTTGTGTTTACAACTGAGCAGGTGCCATGAGTGATCAATAGCCCTTTTTAAAAATGTAGATAGACTTCAAATACTAGAAAGGGTTTTCTTTCTATTTACCTTCACAGTTATGATTCAGATTTTAGTATTCTTACAGGTGTATTTGAAGATTCCACAACGGTTGCGACTGTGTACTGATATGGTTTGTTCTTTCTCTATCTTTGTAAATTGGACTGTGACATGGAATTCATAATTATGTCCAAAACTAGATATTTATATCTCAACATGTGTTCTCTCTCATACCAGCTGAAAGTTGCTCACAAATCTAAGTAAATATAGCACTTAGTTGACAGCTATGCCTTTTGTTCACATGAATCACTTAATGTATGTCAATGCATTATATTAATTCAGGAGCTTATATTTAATATAAAACAAAGTAAGGAATGTGTTAGATCATAACCACTTTCTACCTTTTTTGGTAGATTATTTGTAAACAGCTGGAAACTACTTCAGTGCCTTTTCTATTCTAATGAGATCACTTTCATGGAGTGGTTCATATTCTCTAATATTTGGGTGTCCTCATGCTTATCAATTTAACCAAGCAGAGAGACACTAATATATTTGAATTATTATGGGGTAACTTCTATGCACTTCCAGCTAGTGTTTGTTTAGAACAAAAATATTCTATTATAGTAATATTCAGTTAAGTTCCCTAGACAGTTTTCCCTAACAAATTCCAGTAAACTATTGTGTAGCATCTTTTTCAGGTTTTGAACTGGCACTTTTGGAATTAAACTAGGCATTACGAAAGGAATTTGTAAGAGGAAAGAAAAATGTTCTTCAGTTGAGGGGAAAATATCTAGATTTACTAAGTGATTCTTCAGCAAGGCCTAGAAATTGTTCTCACTCACTTGGAACAACAGAGAAAAACAATGGGGCTTCTGTTTCCACGATACCAGTGTTTCTCAACCTTGGTAACCTTAAAAAGTGTGAACTTCAACTCCCAGAATTCTGGAAGTTGAAGTCCACACTTTTTAAAGTTGTACTAAGTACAAAAACCTCAGTATAAAAAACTGCTAAGTAAAAAGAACAGAAATGAAGAGTTGTCTTTTTCCTAGATAATTAGATTTGATTCAATTGCTATGAGTCTGTTTGCAGGTTCCTCATTATGACTTGAATTAACAATAGTGGTCTGACATAGAAATAGCAGTTTCGTGTCAGTGTCAAAGAAATACTGTATAAATAGATACATGAATACTTTGCCAGATCAGGTTTTATTTATTATTCTGTATGCCCTTTTGTTGAACTTGTAAGCATGCATTACTTTTTAAAATCACTGCATTTGAAATTTCTGAATTCAGGAGGCACATGACCAAGAAATGTTTGCCAAGGGAACAAGAAATAAACCATGCGCCTAGTACAAACTCTCCCCTTATATACATTGGGATGTCATGATGCAAGTACAAAATATTGACATTTGTGTCATTATGTCGTGAAACATTTTATTGTTTTGGCATCATCAGTTAGGAACAGACACCAACTAATGTCATAGGTGTCAATCTGCACCTTCAAGCATTTTTAAACATACAGTACTTTATCTTCACAAGTAGTTTCTGACAATAACATTATTTGCAATGCAACCACAAGGTTGTACAGAATGGTTGTTTTCTCAATATACACAATCAGGATAGAATATTTTCCTTTTAAATTCTGAAAATTGCAAATTGGAGATGATTTTTCTAAAATAAAACAGCCTTTCGCATGTTAGGGATTAAAACTGTTTGTATGTATGTACAGTATATATTTTTAAAAGATTAAAACCCATACTAATAGCTATTTGAACACTTGGAACATTAAATATATGAGAGTACGTTGTGGGGGCAGCCTGAATGGGGCTTCTTATTCCCTATAATGGACACCATGGGAAGGAAAATATGCATCAGAATGTAGCCAGTCATAAAACATCTATTTTACAAAGAGCAACTGGGAACTCATTCCTTCTACCACACTGTGTTGTTCCTACTATTCAAGCTGTCTTTTATGTTTTTTATAGATGGGTAGATATGCTTCAGAACAAAGCATTGGCCTACAGTCACAGACCCGTTTTTATTTTCTGAGATTACCTGTGAGACTATGTAATGGACTCAGAGAGATTTCTTTGGAAATAAATCATTTTGAAGTCTGGCTTTCTTTTAAAAGAAAACACACATGCATACAGTCAGATGGGGCAAAGAGCCTGCTAAATGCCAAGGTAGGAGTCCATAAACAGATAGGCTTCTTCCCCCCCATCAAAATGATTTAGATATTGGGTCGTGTTTTAACTGGACAGAGCCCTTTCACCCTGTACATATATGGGTAGAGGAAATGCATGCTATAAATTCAACAAAATGGCAGTCCAAAAATAACTTGTGAAGTAACCTTTAATCAATTTTAATCTGCAAACACTGGTTTGGCTTGCTTATTTATTCATTTATTTAAGAAATATCCATTTTATCTTCTCCCAAATGGTTTTAGGTAGCTTACAAGGCAGTCATTATTTCTAAAGGTCATTAAAATCTTCCTGCAATGTGTGGCATGTACAGAGAGGTTAGAACACGGGTCGGCAACCCGCGGCTCCGGAGCCGCATGCGGCTCTTTCAGCCGTCTCCTGCGGCTCCCTGTCCTCAGCCACCATGTGCAGTCTGAAAAAAAAAGTGGGACTAAAAAAGTTCAACCAATCAATTCAAACTTCTCACAAAATTTGAATTGATTGGTTGAACTTCTTTGGTTTGTGGGACTGCCCACAAACCTCTTTCCTTCTTCGTACTGCACGTGGTGGACGGGAGGATTGCTGGAAAAGTGTCCCTGGTAAGGAGCTGCGGGTGGCCGGTCTCAAGGTGCCTCTTCCCTGCCCGGCGGGTCTCCCCTCGCCCTGCTCTGCCACCACCTCTGTTAATTGGGGTCGCTGGGGGTCTTCCGGAGCTTCCCCTCTCCGCCTGCGCCTTTCGGCCGTCTCATGGGCAGCGGATTCCCCTGCGGCGCCTGCCCGGCCCTTTCGCCACCTGCTGCGCGGTCCTCTTGGCCGTCCTGCCACTGCTGCCGGTCGCGCTGAGTGAGGCCAAAGCGGCAGCGAGCGGGCAGCCGCGCCACTTCGCCGTCCTCCTGCTGCCACCGCCGCTACTGCCCTCGCTGCAGGAGAAGGAGACCTTGGGCTGCGAGGGCGGCGGGGCCGGCGGCGGGTCAGGACCCCCCCTTGTTCCCGCGGCGGCATTCCCCCGTTGCTGGTGCAGCCTCCCATGGTGCACCCGGCCTTGGCGCCCTCTTGCAATGGCAAAGTGGCTGAGGATGGGGCGGGGGCAGTGGCCAGGCCGGGGGCGCGGGGAACCCTGACGATGCTGCAGTGGCCGGCAGTGGGCCACGCCGCCGCCACCAGAGCCGCTGCCTCCAGTCCTGCTCCCCCTCCCTGCCCGTTCGGCTGAGGACGCGGTGGCCGGGCTGGGCCGCCGCCGGCAGAGCCGCTGCCCCCCATCCTGCTCCCCCTCCCTGACCATTCAGCTGAGGACATAGTGGCCGGGCCGCGTCACTGCCACCAGAGCCGCTGCCTCCCATCCTACTCCCCCTCCCCACCTGTTCGGTGCTGTCTGCCTTTTGTTCTCTCCTCACCTGGAGAGAGAGAGAGGAAGAGAAAGAGAGGAAAGAGAGAGAGAAAGAAAGGAAAGAGAAAGGAAAGAGAGAGAGGAAGTGGAAAGAGAAAGAGAGGAAAGAGAGAAAGAGAAGAAAGAGAAAGAGGAAAGAGAAAGAGGAAAAAAGGGAGAGGAAAGAGAAAAAGGAAAGAGGGAAAGAGGAAAGAGAAAGAGGGAGAGGAAAGAGAAAGAAAGGGGGAGAGGAAAGAGAAAAAGAAAAGAGGGAGAGGAAAGAAAAAAGGAAAGGGAGAGGAAAGAAAGAAAGGGGAGAGGAAAGAAAAAGAGGAAAGAAAGAGAGGAAAGGGGGGAGAGGAAAGAGAAAAAGAGGAAAGGGAAAGAGAGGAAAGAAAGAGGAAAGAGGGAAAGAGGAAAGAAAGGAAAAAGGGAGAGGAAAGAAAGGGGGAGAGAAAAGAGAAAAAGAGGAGAGGGAAAGAGGAAAGAGAAAGGGAGGGGAAAGAGAAAAAAGGGAGAGGAAAGAGAAAAAGGAAAGGGAGAAGAAAGAAAGAGGAAAAGGGGAGAGGAAAGAAGGAGAGGAAAGGAAAGACAGAAAGGAAAGAAAGGGAGAGAAAGAGAGAGGAAAGAGGAAAAGGAGAGGAAAGAAAAAGGAAAGAGAAAGAAAGAGGAAAGAGGGAGAGGAAAAAAAAAGGAAAGAGGGAGGGAGAGAGAAGAAAGGAAAGAGAGCGAGAGAGACCCTTTTGACATCTAAAATGAAAATAACACTGAATATATCCTTTTTTACCTTTATTTTATATATACACACACAAACACACACACACACACACATATGCAGGTCTTGGCGTATTCGGGTCTTTTCCCGTGTAAGATTGAGAGTATCTTGGTGACGTTTTGACGAGGTCCCACTCGTCATCTTCAGGCTGGGGTCTTCGGCTTCGTGCTTGTGCGAGCAAAGTGTGATCGGAGCAGCCGTCTCTCTATAAATATTGGTGGGGGTGTGTGGAGTGCTGGCTTAGTTGCTGTAGGTGGATTGGTTGGCTGTGTGGGAGCTATTGTTCAGCTGTTTCGTAACATCCTGGGTAGTTGAGGTGCTGGCTGTGTGCCCATTAGTCTTTTGTATTATAATGACCTGGGTAATGTGTTGTGTGATTACGTCCTGAGATCTAGTGTAGTGATATCCTGAGTTTTGTGTTGCAACATCCTGGGTGGTTGGCTGTGTTGTAACATCCCCCACAACATGAATAAACATGACGATACCTCCCGCCTACCAGACATCTGAAAACTAGCCCTAATCAACAAACGAATCCTAGCCACGAAAACTGACACCGGACCAGAACAACACAGTACGCCACCACCATTCACCCTCACCAGACCCAAACCCAAGCCCAAACGCATCCCTCAGACGAAAGGCAACCACTATCCAGAAGCCAAACCACGACGACATCACCAGCTGCTGCACCTCCCTCCGACCCCCACACAAACCAAATGGACACACACCATGAACACAGAGCTAGACTGCAAACTCGGAGCCAAACCAAAGCCTGGTATGCTACATCACAGCCTTCTGCTCTGGACACCACATCACAGAACTCAGGGGGTTACAACGCTAAAGCTCAGGATGTTACAACACAGCCAACCACCCAGGATGTTGCAACACAAAACTCAGGATATCACTATACTAGATCTCAGGATGTAATCACACAACCCATTACCCAGGTCGTTATAACACAAAAG